TATTATATTATACTGTTTTATAATTTGTTTATTATATAAATAATATCTTTATTATATAAATAATATTTTAGTATTATAAATTTTTTTTTTAATTTTGATTAAATTTTTTAATGAAACAATATCTGTATATTTCATTGAATATAATATTTAATGTAAACATTATATCTGATTATTACAGCTTCAATCAACGTGCTACATTACGAGATCACACATTATTACACACTGGTGAGAAGCCTCATATATGTAATGTATGTGGAAAAGCATTTACAGTTAGTGCAGCGTTGAGGAGGCATATGTTCAATCATGTTGAAGTCAGGCCATTCAATTGTGATAATTGTGGTATGGGATTCATCGGTAAATACGATTTACGACGACATATGCGAGTGCATGAGAATCGACCTAGGGAAAAGCGTAAAAAATACATAAAACCAACCAATGTTCTTCAGCAAAAATCGGAGGAAAGTCATATTTCATTGGAAGAATCGAAAACTGAGACTGCGCTCATAGAAATAGAAGAAGGGCTTTTATCACAAAACATTATACAGACCATACCACAAATCGAATCAGAAAAGGAAAATGAGGATGCACTATTTAATAATCTTCAATCTTATTCAGTTATATACAGTACAACTGAAGATAGATCATAGATTGTGTAATATATACTAACTATCTTATTACAAACATATTTCTGTTTTACTCATATATTCACGTATACAGTGTTGCAATCATTTTCTTTCCCTCTTCAACTTCAATTATATGTATAGAATTTATACGGCACTTTATCAAGATATATTTATACAAGGTATCTTTTGAAGTTAACAGTCAATTAACTTTTTGCCTAAATATACGGAATGTTTGGCAATAGATATAAGAAAATAAAAAAAGTAAAATTACGAATTCAGCTCTATTCTTTAACTATAAATGTTTCATTTATGTATTTAATTAAATATTCATGCACTTTAAAGATTTTATGTGGATATTTAAATACTTATAATTAAAAAACAAAACAATTTTGTTATCGATTTTTATCTTATTTTATCTAGAATTATTTTTTTAAGTTTTCACCTGTTGCCGAACATTGTATTAATATAATTTCGAAAATCAAATATCTAATTTCCGAGATGAGATTTTTGCTATTGCTAATTATGTATGAATAACTAAAAATAATTTCTTTTTTATGATACTATTTACAAATTTTAAAAAATATTTCATAAATTTTTTCTTTTAATTTCTGTTAATAGAAAAATAATAGTATAGAAATATTCTCTTATTACATATAAAAATATAATTATTATATGTAGATTTAAGTTAATTCAGAAATATTTTGTATCCAGAAAATTTTTAGGATACAATATCTGAAAATTCAAAAGTTTTAAATATAAATTGTAATGTATATAAATAATATATTGAAATATGTTATTAACGACGAAGTTTGTTAACAATATATTATATTGGCTACCACGATGCATTTATATGTAAATAACATTTCTTGTTTTTAATAGTTTTCAGTACGAATGATATAAAATTTTTTCTGAAAAACTTTAATGTTTAGGATTCTTTTATTGATAAGCCGGTAAATAAAGAACGTACATATTTGATGTTTTAACTATTGATGTATACAATTTAAAATGCAAATGTTAAATTTGATGTTTAAATTTTATGTTATTGTACAAGTGTTTTATAAGTAACCATATATATTTATCCCGCAACAATATCATATACAATGTATTACTACATTTTTCTCTAATTGTTATCTGCATGGATAATCATCAGACATAAATATTAATGCAGATAACAGAAGAAAAAAAAAATTTGTTATTCGTGCACATATATATCTGAAATGAAATTTATAAATTGTCGAAATTTTGACAGTCACGCAAACTTCCATGTCAATGGATGATTTTTATATAATTTATTATTGTTAAATCTAACGATATATATATATACACACACACACACACACACACACACACACACACACACACACACACACACACACACACACACACACACACACATATATATATATAAAGCTTTTAGTTTAATAGAGAGCTTTGTCTTACATATTTTAAAAAACTAAATTAATTTTTCAAATTATTTTTTAGTTAAATGTAGATATACATGGGATCTGTTTTCAGTGGCTGAACTAGTGTACACTTGGAATCTGAAGATAAGTATATGTTTGACATTTGGCAAAATCGAGAGAGTTCCAGTGTAGTGTAGTGTATAAAAAACATCCAACAAACTTTAAAGCTTTTATTAAAATCTCTTATTATAATCTCTATCAAATTAGAGATTATAATCAACCATGGATTATTTGTAGAAATAGAGTACTATTTTTTGACCACAGAGAGCGCCACGAGTGTTATTTCACGTTTCTCTGTCGGTCTGAGAATCAGTAGATTATTTTTTAGATTAAAGCATTGATAAAGGCTGTTTATATAATCAAGAAAATTTTCATAGAATAGTGAATAAGATATTTGTAACTATTCGAAAAGGAATGCTGTGAAAAATTGGTAAATAATATATTTCTACATCATAGTGAGAAATCGTTTGAGTGTCTCTTTAATTTATATTTTTAACAATAATTCATCTGGAATTTATTAATTTTTCGATCTTTATTAAAATATTCTTTAAAATTGATTGATTGGGTAATTAAATTTTCTTTCTAACTTCTTCATCATCCACTAGATGTCGTATTCAGGTTATCAAGTTATTAAAAATCAAAAATAAGAAAGAAATTTTGTGGTTTTGAGTTTTAATTGACTAATATGGAAATGATTGATAGCGATATTTTTTTGTATTAATTAATGAATATTATTAATGGCTCAAGTATTGTTATGATTATTAGTTTACTGATTAATTATTGGTAGTTGTTTTACAAATGCAATTCATAGTTTGGAAATATGAATCCTGAAGCCGCGCGCGTGTGCATTCAGTAATATTAGATAGGACAATTAAATTAATTAATTATATGCACGAAACTCGAAAAGGTTTCACCATCGTATATATTTAATAATTTTTTAAGAATTGGATCATAAATTAATTAATAGCAAATTAATTATTTCTGATAACTCTTTAAATATCGGCTAAATATATCTCGGCTTTTCTTTAGATAATTGTTTTCTTTTGAAATAACCTAATAAAGTTAATTATTTGTGATTCTTGAAGTGTTGTATCACTTTAAATTAACATTCATATATTCTTTTGCAAAATTTTTACGAAATATGTATTAAAAAATTGTATATTTTAAAGTAATGTTATTTTGTTTTATTTTCAGATTATTGATGTGACCTTCTCTCTGTCTTTTTCCCCATTATATTTTCATCTGGGTATTTTATTCTTACATACATCTGATTCAAATCAAAATCATAGGCTAATAAAATCTTGGAATACAGAAAGTCTTTATAAATTATAACTTTGTATCGAAGATAGGTATATGATATTCTTTTTAATAAAAAAAACAAATTAATAAAAAAAAACAAATTAATAATGCATATAACACTATTTGATTTTGAAATATGAAATAATAATTGTTACAAAATAGTTAGTGAAATGTATTAATATAACCAGAACATCAATCAATTTAAAAACAGGTTACAATACAATAAACAATTAAAAAGTTTTTAATACTTCAAAATCCGCATAAAATGAAATACAAAATCTAAAAATAATGTGTGTAGTCGCACTATGAATGTTTTCACAACGTGAATCGATAATCTTTCTAACAGCTTTAATTGAATAAAATCGTAATTGCACGCATTCCACATTTTTTAATACACGGATTAAAGTGAAAATTTGCACGGTACTTTCGAAATCAAATACGGCTATCCGATTCTAATTTTCTTATGCAATTTATATTTAGTGTTCACTGCTAACATATTCGAAATTGGAGCCAATACGGTTGATGCCAATTCCACACAGCCAGAATACGACTAAACGCTTCATTGAATTCCTGTCGTAAGCACATGTTAAAATTTTCGAGAAGGAGGCGAACGAAAGAGAGGAAAGTCGTGGAGTATCGATCAAGAAGAAAGGATTCAAGTGGCATATCACGAGAGAACGTGTGAAAACACCATCCAAATCGGAGCGCGCGTTCACGGGAGTCGTCGGACATAAAGATCAACGATGTTGCTGGCTGCGCGTTCGGTGCGCAATTGAGAGCTGCGGGAAGCGTCGCGCGTGGCTGCGCGGCGCGCGACTGCGCAAGTCGCGCATGCGCGAGGGACGTCGAACGGGCAGTAGTCGCTACGGTGGCGCCAGTCATGGCGGCTGAAAACACACGCGCACGCTGCCGCCGCCGCCGCCGCCGCCGGTCGGTGCCTCCACGCCTCTACCTCGCCTCCGCCACCGCCACCGATCCCACGACTCGTGGGTAAGTACCCTCACACTCCACGCTCCAATCAGTCTGCACTCGCATGTCCACGAGGTTGTTCGCACGGGGCCTGGCGGCATCCTCTCTCTCTCCCTCTCTGTCTCTCTTTCTCGTTTCGTCCGCTCGTACTCCTGTTCTATCATATTCTCTATCTCGCTCTTTCCCCCTCCCCTCTCTCTCTCATTTACCATCTGTTTGTCTATCTCTCTCGCTCTTTCATTCACCTGACTCTTAACGCGAGCAGTGCGTTACACAGCACGGGGGTGATACCGGTCGCCAGTCGAGGTACTGGTCGCGGACACTGCAGCCGTGGTTGAGGTTAGGTCGACGTCGATCAGTCGGCCGTAGTGGCGGGACGCGGCGCGGCGGATTTGAATTTTCGAACCCACCGGTTACCCGCGCCGTGTTTACGCGGCTCCACCGGGTGCCGCAGATCGATTCTCGCGCGCGTCGCAATCAGAGGGATCGTCATCGCCGTCGTTATTTTCCTGCCGGACAATTGTAAACCGGATTTGTGATTATCGTCATTCACGATATAACCGGGCAAATCGTTACGCGCGCTTGCAGATTAGACCGACGACGGTGTTTTATCGAAACGAACGGAAACGCTCTGTGAGGACGATGCGCCGCGAGTTTTTAACGTCATCACCATCGCCGCCACCACCGTCGTCGTCGTTGACATTGTTATTGTCGCCGAGGTCGTCGCATTCGCGTCTGGTGGAAACGCGCAGCGACGGAGACAAGCAGCGAGTCCTGTGAGGTTTCTGTGAATGTTCTCGGACAGCCGCGTGCCGCGGCTAGCCGCGCATCAGTTTCTCAGTGCACACGAGGAAAACGTATGCGTGCTGGTGATCAACATGTCTATTCTTGCGCCCGGAAGCGCCACGCGGATCCCGCTCGGTTCCGCGTATCGTGACGTGTCGCGTCGTCGTCGAAGTCGAAGTCAAAGTCACATCGCGTCGCTCGGACAATGAGAACGTCGTGGTCTGCAAAATATGCTCCAATCCGTCGCTCCGAGAGCGGAGCTTTCACGCGATTATCTCGCGAGTCTTGCATATTTTCTTCCGAACGTAACTGCTGTAGCGAACGTAGATGTAACGCACATTCTACAATAAGTCATTATTTAATCCTCTATTGTTCAATCGAGACTTTGAAGCTCCATGCGAATTTTCAATTTTCAATCATTCTGCCTCAAATTCGGATATATATAGAAAGTGAAAATCATTTTGGATCATACGAGCAGTTTGATAAGTCAATGATTCTGTAAAAGGAGATTATATTGGAAAATAAGTTGAATTTTGATATAAAAAAATTTTAAAAAAGTCAGGTATTAAACTGTTCTCGTATCATTGTAAAATTATATTTTTGAATGTTGTAAAACAGCGTAAATTTTTTTTAGACTTTTTAGAGTTCAAAAACTTTTTAAAAAACATAATTAGTGATCCAATTGGAAACTAAGGAGCAGTAAAAAAAATGTTGGACTACAGAGGGTTAAGCTTCAAGTCTTAAGCCGTAAAAAATTGATCAGTCACAGTTGAATGCGAAAAGAATAATCGACTACGATTAGTCAATTTTTTATGATTTAACACTTAAGGTAATAGCTTATTGTAAAAAGTTCTTAAGAATTTCTATGAAGTTGTCATTGTCGATTTAGAGAGAGAGTAATATGCTTAAATCATATATATTGTTCTCTTTCTTTCTCTCTGTTTAAAATATTGAGTTTATTTTATTCATTATATTGCAAATTAAATTTGTTAGACACACGAATAATCAGTGTCGGTTTGTGATGGTATTAACTTTTTACTTATATTATTAGCCTTCAATATACTAATATTGTCTGAAATATTGAAGAGAAATTCAGATATGATTGCCAACATTGCGTTCTCTTTTTAAATCGAGCACAGATGCTACAATCAGGGAATGTGCAGTCTACTTTTCTACGTCTATGGTAACGAAAGTGCCTTGCGTTAATAACGATGAGAATGTTGTGATTTCTTATACGAGACAAGTGAATTTTATTACGCAAAGTTTTACTTTTTTGCCTCAGAAAAGAAATGCTATTGATAAAAATAATAGAATAATGGTGAAAATGAAAATTGTTAGATTGTCGCGTAGAAACTAGGAATTTATCTGCGTGTATCATTATTCGAACGTTGATATTTGAACGTTTTTACATTAATTTCTTAACGTTATTTGTATTGGCTGATTAGATAACGTTACAGATATTGACAGCTGCCAACCGACTGTTTTATGAACGATTGACAAGAGGCTCTTGTCTCTTTAATGTGAGTAACGAAACTTCGTAATTTAACAAAATTTTGAAATATGTAATCTATATTATCGATTTATTACTGCATTTTAAAGCAATACAGAGATAACATCAGAAGTTTATAGATGCGGAAAACGTTTTGCAAATCGGGAACATGAAATGAATTCTGCAGACGTATTGCGTAAGTGCATTTGAATATGCACAAAAGATAAAAGGATTTGTGTATGAAGTGAACTCGAAACTTGTTTGCCCAAAATAACGTTTTGAACTAGTTGTTAATCCGATTATCTTTAGCTACTTAATACAAAATTATAAGATGAGGATACATAATTTATTTAAATAATATTTGAATAAATGAAGGCTTTAATATTTTGATCATAAATTGCTAATAGACTGATAAAGTCAATTATGATTATTAATTAATCCTTTTTTCTTTCATCTTTACATTATTAAGCAATTTAGAGAATTATTTGCAATTTTTGAGCGATGCAGAAATACATGAAAGTAATTTTTTGATTCTTCTTTAAATTTTTTGTTATTCTTGATTTGGATAATTTATTATTTTTAATTTTTGATTGTGATTTTGAAATAAAAATTAATTGATACAGCAATTAGAAACAGCAATTTGAGCCTTATAATTTTTGTCAATTGTTCATGAAATTGTGCACATCAAACTTTCGATTCGATTGCTATTTCTAAAAATGAGATTTTACATGAACTTTTCGAAATATTCACCATTTTTCATTACCACTAATATTTTTCGCACGTGATTTTCTATCGAGTATCGTTCAATCGTTGTCGCGAAAGCGAAGCCGATCTGGCATCGATCGACGCAATTACTCGCGGATCGAATTCGATAGCTTTCAGGTTGAAAGGTTAGAAGTAGCAGAAATTGTCGGCAGATCGACACCCGATCCAACACCGGTGATTAATTGACAATCACGATAATTAATGATACACGCGGTATACCGCGATCTCGCGCCACGACATGCTGATGTATTCTATTAAATCGCGTTTTGTGGAAGAAAATATCGAGTGAGTTATGAGCAGATTTGCTCGTATTTATTCATTTTGAAGAGACAATTGCAACAACTGTCACAACATTTAAGACTGTTAAATATTTTCGTTATACATGACTTGATTTTTTAAACATTGTCCATTGTTATTACTTTAAATGGCATTCATTTGTCATTTTTGATCTACAGAAGTGTATTTATACAGCTCTAAATAAATAGATTTTAACATATTAATAATTTAAGAATTTAAAAGCTCTAAATACTCAATTTAAATTTCATATTGTAACCAAGAGTTTAAAGTCAAGTATTCTGAGAATTGATAATTTAATTACAATAATTGTACTAAAAAAAGGAATGAATGAATTGGAGATTCTTTCATTAGATTTTCACAAGATTTTTCTATCTCAGAGTATAACTTTATGTGAGTTCTATAATAATGGCAATTGTTCTAATATTATAGAAACTATTTCAAAAGAAATAAATGTAATAAATTGAAAAAATAATGATATAATTATCATAAATTGTACAGTTTCCAACATGATTGTAGGAAATGCTGTTGGTTACTGGACTTATCTGACTATTCCATAATTAATTAAACTGTTTTATGTATGAGAAGTGCTAATATGAAATTGATAAAATTATAATTTCATTCCGATAGGAAACACGACATAATTCTCGATGTAATTAATGCACCACGACGTAATCCTCATTGACGAGCCGAGCTAATTTATTGAACTCACTTTTCGATCGATGACCTCTTATATCCAATTTTGCGCATTCTTAAATTGTAAAATCCGAATTGTTTGAATTGCAATTTTAAAAGCAAAATACGTAAAAAAATCAGGAATGGAAATTAACAAAAGAAAAGTTCAGAATGTACGTACCATTTTTAATCCATCATATGCATTCTTTGAATTCTCTATAGCGTTCTTTGAATTCTCTCTAAGCGTTCTTTAATATTAAATTTTAATACACAATTTTACACAGTTTTTATAGATTATTGTTAACAATTTTCTTATTAATGATTTATTGAAAATAAATTGTCAATTTTTGACAGCCTGTTAGAAAAAATAATTTAACAATTATCAAAACATCGAATGCCTAATTGACAAATGTCTAAAATAATTTCTTGTTGGATTGTGATCTTCTTTGAAAAAACTTTGAGAAAAACATGTGTTCTTTTATGAAATTTATAGAAAAATGCTGTACATTAAGAGAAAAAATGAAAAATGAAATTAAAACTTCATCGATCGAGAAATATGCATAGTCTATTCATTATCATCATAACTATGAAAATTGTAAAGGTTAGATTAATTCATAAATTTAATTAACAATTAATAATTGATTAGCCAATATAAACGCAATCGATAAAGTATGTCCGAATATCGCGGTCGCATTTCCGAAATTCCGAGTTTACGCAAAATTCTCTTCGAGTCTTGCGTTGCCGAACGTATTTAGAATAGAAAAACGATGAATCGACGAGGCACGGAAGGAAGAAAACGACGTATATGTTTTAGATGGATAATTCTGCGTACGTACCGAATCACCTACCGCCGCCGTCTTTGGTCGTGTTCTCGCAGGCCGGAGGTCTGCCTGAGGCCTTGAGAATGCAAAGACCATTCAATCCACAAGTTAGTGTCCCATTGTCCTTACCCTTATGCCTATAAGCCTTTGTATCAGCTTGCATTTACGCGATTGCGCTGCGTTTCGCTTACCTGCAACGCGTTAAAAACGTATTTTAACCCTTTGTCTCTGTGATAAAGATTTCGATTTTCTTCTGTTCTAAAATTCTGTTTTTATAAAGAAGAAAATGTGATTATATAAATGTATATAAACTTGATCGAGATATATTTTCTTTAATTTTTATTGGACTTTGATATGTCTTTACGTATCGTGAATTGCGTACAGTTAGTTTTTGTGTAATTGTGTAAAATTTATATTTGTGTGATTTTTTTAACTATTAAAATCGACGAAGGAGTAAGATTTATTGGAGAACTATATTGGAGGGTTAAATCACTTTCACGCTTGCATCACGTAGAACGAAACTGCACTGCGGTAATTCGAGCGTATCATATTTGACGGTAACATACGTCACTATTTGGCAGAAAAGTAACTTGAAATATGTACAAAATAAACAAAAAAAAAAAACAAAAAAATAATTGTTGGCATTGATTTCATTGAGCCCGTCGGACTGCTCGAGTTACTTCCATCTCGCTTTGCATATCTATGCCGCTTTATATACGGGAGTACTAATTAATGCACGCGATGAATAGAAATTTGATTGTATGCGTGTGTATAAATGTGAATGCTCAAATAACAGTTAGTATCAAGTCAATGATGCGCAACTTTCTTCCATCGGACAAATTGTTGCCTTGTTTTAGGTAATGTCCGTTTATCAACAATCATTATAAAATGAAAAGAGTATAATTAAGAAATATAAATGTAAATAAAAATTATAGCGTATCAAGCAGTTGTTTTTATACTATTAAAAGTAGAAATAAACAAATTAGAGCATACAAATGAAGAGAAATATGTAGATTGTGCATCATTGACGTACAGAGCATAAAAAAAGAGAAGTAAAATGATAACCAGTGAAATAGTAAGTATTTTCACACGATCAACAAGATCTGTGACATCTGGAATTAGTTATATAAGTATTATGTTTATGGAGCAGCTGCGAATTATCTCATAATTCTAAAAGAGAATCAATTCTTAAATTATAGAAAATATTTATTTTATTATATTAAAATGTGACAGCAACTTATGTATAATTTTCTTACATTTTCAAATTTTATGTACTGTAATCAAAATGCGCGCATATTGATAACGAATTACCAAAAATACCGTTATTAAACTTCCGATAATAACAAGACTCTTTTAAATACAATTTTATATCGCATACATTTTTATCTCATAACTGTGATTGCCGCAAATATTTAACGAACGAGCATCGCGGTTAATTATAAGCGTATTCCACAGCGTTTTTAAATGCTTGAATATTTTTCATACGTGCGGGACATCAATCGGGTCTGGATAACGCGTGCAGATGCGGAACGGTAGATACAGATAGTGATGGAATGAGGGAGACAGCGAGAGAATGGGTTGCATCAAAATTCAGCATCGTTAAAAAATGAGATAATTTCAGGGCGAACCTAATTGTGATGGCGCGGTGACAAAATACGCTCGCGTTTTACCGCCAGCGGTAGTGAGCGGGAGAAAAAAATAAAAGATTATTGCAAATATGCAAGCGACGCGCGTCGCGCGACACCGATCGCGAAAAAAGGACCGGGGCCGCAATTAAAATAATAATGAATACCTAATAAATCACTGATTGGACCGCGGGCGCAAATATGCGAGCCGGCGGACGCGAACCTCATTTCCCTGTATAAAAGAATAATAAACTAATCGCGCCGTACTAATACCCGCGCGTGTAACTCATCGCCCGCGTCATTATCGGCCGAATGAAATGTTTATCCGGAAACCAGCTGTCCGCGTTCTCGCCGATGAAATCATTTCGTACTTCCGTTCCTCTTAGTCGCGTGGGATGACGATTGACGAGTAACACTTTGCGCTTTTATAATTCAAGATGTATTGAGCCATATAATATTTGTGTATTAACTATCACATAATTATCACAACAATATCGCAATTTGTTAAAGTCAATACTGTATTGTTGCAAATTTAAGAAAATGAAAAGAAAATCGCTATAATCCCCTGAAATATCAAAAATAATAAAAATAATATGAATAATTTTTTTCAAAATCAAATCTTTTGGACTATTACTACAAATATAACAATATGTTTTCCTCTTATTTATTAATTATCAATTAAAAACTTTTTGAATATTTTTTGAAATACGACGAAGTCGTTCATGAGATACTTGTACGTAATTACGTGTTGAAATATTCGCCTGTTACTCGCGTCATTACATTTTTCGACAAGTCTAGGCATAGAAAATACAATGCACCGTTATTACTTGGCCACGTTTAATACAATCCGATAATTCTGGCATTATAAATGTTACAAAATCCAACGCGTAGATGCTTCAGCCGAGCATTCAGTATGCGGCTTAATAGACTCGTCAATCACGCGAATTGAATGATACAACCGGTATACGGGGGTGGAGGGGGTGGTGGTAGGGGACCATGGGGGAGAAGAGCTTCAGGTTTTGACGGATTATTATAACACAGTGGTTTCGCGTTATTAACAGTATACCACCACGCTGCTTTGATATTATATGCCATTCAGACGTAGCTGAAAGCGCGGAAATACCCTCATGCTGCAAATGAGCTATCGAATTACGCGATTCATTTTTTCGTTCGTCGCGTATATACGTGAAATAAAGTTATCCTATCGAATTTGATAATATGAATGCGGTTTCTCGAAACGGGAGTAAATGTCAGGATTCCTTTTATAAATGTCACTAAAATAGGAAATCAGAGGTTAAAGACATACGAGACTTATAACAGAATGTAAAAAAAAAAAAAAATTAATCATAAAATTTTATAGCGAAATAAAAAATATGAAAAGTCTATTTCATTAAATAAAGTTATTTGCAACATTTTAATATTTAAACATATCTATTGTATAAATATTGGAAATATCTCAAGGCGATATATTTACAGAAGACTCAAATTTCAAGAAAATATCTCTCTTGTTCTTTTCTTATAATTCCATAATAACATAATTTGTAAACCACATAAATATATGATTTATTTTGTTTCTCTTTCTCTCTTTTTCTTTTTTTCTCATATTCTTATGATTTTAATACACACATATAATATCTTTGCTTAATTAATTAAGTAACAATTAATGATGGCTTTAAGTTAATTAACTGAAAGAATTAATTTTTTATAAAATATATTACATTTTTATTTTACTAATCCCTACAATGCTTTCATGATATTGATATAAAAACTAAAACTCTGTATTAATATTAAACCATCATATTTATGAGGCTCCTAGAATCATTCTGTTAGATTTTTTTATCAATCCTTTTTGCTTTCCGTTTGTTCCAGGTGACCGATTCGAAAGATCTGCAGGTGCCCTTCAGCACGGCGGCATCGCTGGGCTACGGGCTGCATCACATGCTGCATTTGCCGCCGCAATTCCTGCATCCGCTCGATCATAGACTGCCCTTCGGCGGCTTTCGGCCCTTGGTGCCGTCCGCGTTCGCGCCCCCCAGCAAGTGCCTCAAGGTCGAGACCGGGAACGGCGCGGTGCCGGGGAACGGCGGCCTACCCAGCATCGGCTCGCTCTCGAGCATGTC